CCTCCTTCACCCTAACAAACAGTTTATTATCGTTGTATTCGTAGTGAAAACTGATGGCACAGTCCTCTTTGTCAAAGTAGACACACCGACGCGCGCCCTCACGAGTCTCTGTAATAGGTTATGTTGTCAAATATAAGCTTGCTAATTATTATAAATTGCAATCATTAGCAACAATTTATATTATAATTTTAAACTTTAAAATCAGACTTAAAATTTTATTTAAACTTAAGTTATTTAAAGTTGTTAACTAAGATCTGTGTTCAGACAGTGAAGATGACAGTAACATCAGCGTCATTGTTATGAAATTTGCTTTGTAAATAAGTTATAATTTATTTAAATTCCTCAGGTGTATTTCATACTCCATATTGAATTATCAATACTTTCTAAATAATATTTAAGTTTTTATTTTTTATAAATCTTTGAGTAAATAGTAATATAAAGAATTATAAAAAATATTGCAATTAAGTGTACTAACAGTAAGATTTAACTCAACCATTCAATCATAATATAATTATAATAAAAGTGATTGCAGTTTATTGTGAGACAAGTAGTTCATAGTAAGTTGCATTGATGATAACAAACCTAATGAATCGGTGATTTCATAATCAAACGTACATTTGTCACGACATTCAACGGGCGAATAGGTGCCAGACTTGAAGACTTTGCACTCAACACAAGGTTGCAATTCATTACACCGACCCATAACAAACCTAATGAATCGGTGATTTCATAATCAAACGTACATTTGTCACGACATTCAACGGGCGAATAGGTGCCAGACTTGAAGACTTTGCACTCAACACAAGGTTGCAATTCATTACACCGACCCTCACAGCTCTGCACAGGTATTGCAAATCAATTAATTATTCATACTTTTGTCACACAATTTGAAAACTGACGGCACAATCCTCGCAATACTGTCCATAATATCCGTCATTACAGTAACAGCTACCGCACCGACAGTCTCCATGTCCTGAACACGTCTTATTGGACAGTTCGTCGTAAATGCAGGTGGAGTTGGATGTACTACAGTCGCAAGTGGCGCCCGACCATCCCGTCTGTCGCACCAATTATTAATAATTTTATTAATTGACATAAAATATGAATTAAACAACACTTACCACACAATGACAAATACCATCGCAACAGTACCCCCGTTGGTGTCCCCCACACGCCTGGCCTCTAATGTCTCGATTGCATGAAAACGTATCGCATTCACAGAATTTGCCGGAAATGAGCTCAAATGGGTTGGGCCTCGAATGGCACTGACATTCACCACAAACACAATTACCCCGATTAGAGCAGAGGGTACTCGCATTGGAATGTCTGTCCAAATGACAGTAATTATAAGAAGTTTTGTAAAAAGCTCAAATGGGTTGGGCCTCGAATGGCACTGACATTCACCACAAACACAATTACCCCGATTAGAGCAGAGGGTACTCGCATTGGAATGTCTGTCCAAATGACAGTAATTATAAGAAGTTTTGTAAAAGTTTTGTAAAGTTTTGTAAAGTTTTGTAAGTTTTGTAAAAAAGTTTGTCAACTCATAGGGAAGGCCTACCGTCTACACTGGTTGAGCATATCCTCTCTGTAGGCGTGGTCTCCATCGCACTCACACTTCTTGCCGAACCGATTCTGATGGCACTCACAGATACCGCACGCATACGTGCCCTCCGATGAACAGTCGGTGGAATTGGGTTTGGCCGCCGGCTCTAACTCGCACTCACACTCACACATGACATGTAGTTCCACTACAGTGTACTCATTGACACCGATGGGCGATATGATAAAGGTCTCGCGACCACCCAAAGGACATTTAGTCACTTTGAGCTCCACATCAAACTCCACGGTCTGTCCGATGCCTATGTTATGACACGTGTTTGACTCACTCTTATGAGAGCCTAAACACGAAGACATGTAACGGATTTGTATGGCATCTGAAGAATTGTCTCTAAATTCCACTTTTGAAGCGATTTTCTTGAAATTATCTCTTATTATGTCCACAATGTTTGATGAATCGTCTTTGAGTAGACCAGTGGTTGAGCCGGGAATGTGTTCACTCAACTGCTTATACACATTAATACTGTCTTCGGGAACAGCGAAGATGATGTTTGTTTTGGATTCAGTGACCACTCTATTGATCTGTTCCAGCGATGGATAGTCTTGTTCTTTGCTTTCAGTATAGACTCCTTCATCACTCAAATGACATTCACCTAAAAAATGAGATGATATTTAATATGATCTTTGAAAGTAAGCTCATTATCTACACAATTACCATCATTTGGTTGAACAATTCCTCCGAGTTTTCCATCGCCCGCGTAATGAAATATGGAATCAGTGGCGAAGAGTATTATCTTTCGTGACAAATCTTCCCACTTAATGTGTTGCCGACAGACTATGGCTTGCATTATGGCGTCAAAACCTCCCTCAGCGTTGTCTAAGTTGCCTGAAAGTGGTGTCGACCCCACCTCCAGAACGAATTGTGATATGTTTGTACTGAGGCGTAAGTGATTGCGGAAACCATAGGGAGGGGCGCACTGCTGCTGATCCGTGCAAGGGTTGGCCAGTTTTTTGGGAACCATACTCGCGTACGGCATCACCACTTTGTCTATGAATGAACCGAAGCCCAGTCGGAATGATTTGGTTATGTTGTTCATGTGAATGGCTTTCCATCAAAAATAACCATAAGTTGTATTAATTTATTTAATTTGATAACATATTAAAATGTTTATGAATTATGAAACTGAATGCATATATCAATAACTTATACCCAGACTATCAGCTAATTCGACGAGTTTTTCCTTATGCTCTTTCATAGAGTAAGTCAAATCCATTAAGTAATATAAATCTACAGGATAGTCGAGTGCCTGTTCATACTTTATGCGAAATCGTTGCACATCATCTAGATATGTTTACAAATTATTTTATTTCAAATTTCATGTGATTATTTGTTTATTAATAACAGGTAAAATTACTTTTTCTGATATGTAAATGAATTTTTTGTGGATGCAATTGAATGGGCTTTTGTGAGAGATTAATCCGTATGTCATCCTATTTTGTAATCAATTTTATTGAATTATATTTTCGTATCAATTCATGAATACCTTCACAATCTCTACAGAAGAGGCCGGGTTTACGATGTCTTTGTCGGGACAGCCGTTCGCTGATAGGCTTTCCGATGAGTCGCATCGAGTGATACCGGGCAGTGGTGTCTGTGCCGAACACCAGGCACACTGCGGTTGAGAGATACAGGAACTACAGTTCGGTGACAGCGAGCATACTATACTTCCCGATGACTGACTAGAAAACTCAAAGTCTTCTAAACAAATATTTTTGTAAATAAATTCATATTAATATCATTATTAGTTTTATGCATATATTTATCTCAAATATTTTCTTTAAGAGTAAAACAAACAAAGTTTTGATTGAATTATTAAGACATCAACTATTGAGAAGTTTGTGAAACGATTGGATAAATAAATATTTTCTATGATTTATTAGAATGATGTTTCAATTAAGTGGTTATTCCTCTTAGATCCCATTCCACTGCAATATTGTCACATTACTAGCATTAATATTCTAGGTCATTAATTGCTTATGTCAAAAATTAAATAAATTATAAACATATGTAATATTTTTATTCATGACAATAGTGTACTTTAGAAAATAAGTGGTGTGAATCTTAACGCAAAATCACATATAAATTACTGTATAATGCAATAATAAAACTTAACGTTTAGAGATATAATGAAAACCATAACAAAAGTNTTCAAGAAAATCGCTTCAAAAGTGGAATTTAGAGACAATTCTTCAGATGCCATACAAATCCGTTACATGTCTTCGTGTTTAGGCTCTCATAAGAGTGAGTCAAACACGTGTCATAACATAGGCATCGGACAGACCGTGGAGTTTGATGTGGAGCTGAAAGTGACTAAATGTCCGCCGGGTGGTCGCGAGACCTTTATCATATCGCCCATCGGTGTCAATGAGTACACTGTAGTGGAACTACATGTCATGTGTGAGTGTGAGTGCGAGTTAGAGCCGGCGGCCAAACCCAATGCCACCGACTGTTCATCGGAGGGCACGTATGCGTGCGGTATCTGTGAGTGCCATCAGAATCGGTTCGGCAAGAAGTGTGAGTGCGATGGAGACCACGCCTACAGAGAGGATATGCTCAACCAGTGTAGACGGTAGGCCTTCCCTATGAGTTGACAAACTTTTTTACAAAACTTACAAAACTTTACAAAACTT